GGGCCTGTTAATTATTACTTTTATGTATGCATACGTGTATTGTGTGTACGGGCGATTGGACGAATCTAAAAAAAAATTGACGAGAATGTGATGAACTTTTGGACGTGTTGGGTTGAGTAATAAATTTTCTAGCAATATTCTCGCTAAAGAATTTTCAGATGCAGATCGTTAACTTGGTAGACTAGAGAAGCTCTTATGGCTGGCTAGTTCCAGGGCAGTTGTACGCAGTGAGTGGATGTTCTGCGTATGTCCTACGTGCCGGAAACGTGGACACCCAGTTAACCGCTCCAGTGCAGGGTTATAAAATCGGCTTGGTAATTGAATTCTCTCTTGCTTCTGGTCGAATGCTTTAATTGGGTGTGTGAAGTGGACTGTCTGTTTTATTTTCCAACTTTGTATTTTACCGGGCGTTACGATCGGAAACCGCTTCGTCGGTATCATTGAAAACTGGGTTGTTTCTGCGTGGTGTTTGAAGTGGTCTCATAGTCCTTCTTTTGCCTTAACTTTTGTGTTGTTCTCAAAAGATACATTCATTATATATAACTGAATAATTTTGAAGAAAATATTTTCTAAAATTAAATTTTGACTGGCATTCATATATTATTATACTGAAATCGCTTCTTGTAGAAAAACTTTAACGCCGACTGTAACCAGAAACGGAAGGGGCATAATAATGTGATTCTAAATTTTAAGTATTTTTGCACGGGTCTAATTTATGGAATTAACTGATTTGTAAGAAATCGTAACCTTGCAGTTATACTAAAGTACAGTCTGTTCAGTGATGAAGTTGAACGAAAGTGTGACGTTCCAGCTACCGGCAGGAACTGCTGTAATAAAAGTAATTTCATTTTGTTCTTGTGGAGCCGTGCTGGACTTGCATCAGGAAGTCTTTGTAGCGCTCGGAAAGTTGCAGTAGGGAGACTGGAAGTGAAAAGTTGTGAAACGTTATCGGTAAACGCACTGTATAAGCCGAAGCTACATTGAATAAGCTGTTTTGATTTTTCAAGGTTCTGTAACGTTCAGGTACACTTTAAAATTGTCATCTTGAGGGTCAATGTATGTGGTATGGTGAGGAAGCCCCTTTTAATGTGTGACATTGCGCTTTAAGTGGGTGGTGATTGGATGATCAGTGGAGCAGCGACCTCGTGGTTCCGGGAAAGAGATGGCAACAAAATATTTATTATTTGCTCAGCTTTCAATGTAAGATCATAATACCCCAAATATATTTGTCTTGAAGATGACAAGTGCAGTGTTTGCAGAAACTTTTAATGATCTCCAGTGTCTACGTGGCAGTTCCAGAACGTCGGAGTTTTACACATAAATTGATCCGCAAAAATTTAGGACAGATAGTTTTTGTTCTAAATCCTTTAAGATGTAATTAACTACAAATAGGCGTAGGCGAAGGGATATATATTATTTTAAATAAATATTTTTATAAAAAAATATTGCGAGGTTGTGCAGTGGATTTGTCAGAGTCAGGACAGAAGCCAGTTGTGTGATCTTTTTGAACATGTCAATGAACGTCGGGTTCCATAAAAGGCGGGTAATTTCTTCAGCAGCTGACCGATTTTTAGCTTCTCAAAAAGGACTTTGCTCCATCACGATTAGTTATATAACAACAGACCAGCAAATTGCATACGTGCGCCGTTCAGTTACACATTTGTTACATAAGAGGTGTCGTTATCGGGGATCCTGTATTTGGTTGTTCGCTACGTTTATAGCACATCGTAGTCAGACATTAGACCTTTTAGTTTTATTTAATTCAATTATGTGTTTAATTGTCTTTTCGAAAACATTTACTTTTATTTTATAAAAATGTAATTAATTAATTTCGTATTTAAATATGAGGTTTGTGTATTTCCCCTGCACCTCTAACTTCTGAAGGAATGGTACAGCGTTTTACATATTGTACCTTTTGCGTGTACGCATCAGCTCTTTCCGGTGAACGGACAGACTTGTGACATGGTATAGATCAGGAACGACCCTGAATGCACTTAAGCTGCGACCCACTTGTATGTTCGTGGAGTCTGAAGCGCTTCTTGAATTATACCCGGTGTTCGGCCGTGTATATCCCAGTTATAATAAATTTTAAGTTTTATGTAAAATATATACTTTCGTGTCGCTGTTTTGTATTTAAATTAAATGAAGTTGATATGTTTTTTAATTAAATTCACATTTGTGAATATCTGTGGGAAAAAACATACGAGGCTCGTCCACAAAGTAAGTTTCCCTGGGGCCGTTTACAGAAACAAAACACAATTTCATGGGAATATTTATTGCAACAGATACAGCAAGTGTCCAACTATTTTTCAACATATTCGCCACCGGAATTGAGACATTTGTCATACCGTGGGACCAACTTTTGAATACCTGTGTCGTAGAAGTCTGCCGCCTGGGATTGGAACCACTGTGTGACAACCATCTCCGCCTCTCTGTCATTCTCAAAACGCTGACGCTGACCGGACAGGAATTTCTTGAGGTGTAGGAAAAGATGGAAATCACTGGGAGCGAGGTCCGGGCTGGAGGGTGAATGATTAAACACCTCCCAGCTAAACTCCTGCAGGAGACTTGCTGTCCGTCGAACCGTGTGCGGCCTAGCGTTATCACTGACCGCACTTCACAGTCGGCGGGAGCTGGAATAAGAACCTCCATCTTCAACAGCTGCAACGATGCTACTGTGAGAACGCGGGAAGTGCCGTTAGTGCATGCGCCATGCTACGTCATTGCTCTATCACGTACGCACAGTCGCTTCGCGCAATATAAGGTTTGCTAGCTGTGGGACGAGTGGGAAACTTACTTTGTGGACGCGCCTCGTATGTTAAGCTTCAGCTGTGAATTAGTAAAAGGAGGCGGTTTTTAGTTTCCCTTTTCACACTATGACACCCAAAATACACTCTATTTTAAGAGGTTCATAGTTTACATTGAATTTGACATGCCTGATCTGATTAATGATCTAGTCATTGTTTGAAATAAATACTTCTTTCAAGTATATAATAGGTATCCGCTTTAGAATATTACAGTTTATAATTATCACTTAGTTTTCCGGAGAAATGTTACAGTTCTGTTTTAAAAATCATCTCTTTTCGGTTGAATTTTTTCTACAGAGTGGTTTTGTGTTCGAAGTACGTTGATTGTTTCGTAAATTTTGAAATTACGTTCCATGTCGGCAAGCCAAGTCACTATTGATGCGTTCTTAAGGGAGTTGTTAGTTTGGTAAACAGTCTATGGAAGCCAAACGTACTTAATACTAAAGTTCTAGACCAGCGGTCAGAATAATCAAGAGTAGAATAGGACGCGCACGTGTTCATTTCGAGTACAGCATTTATTAGACCAGTGTAATTCCTTAACTATCGTAGCGTTATTACTGCACAAAGTGGATCTAGCCGTAAAGTACACGAGAGCTGAACAACTCAGCGCCTTATTTCAAACTTCTTAGTCGTTCCACAAAATCCTACTTGATGAAGAAGAGCTTGGGAAATAGGAATTGCTGGTATTAATACAGATTTAAAGCAAAGTTTCGTAATATCGCATTATTCTATGCTGCTGGCGTATACGTCAAGTTCCTAATTCGGAGTTATTGGAGTCCCCTTTATAGTTTAGCTGAACACATTATGTCTGCAGCAATTTTACTTTGTGACAAAGTAGATAACCTGATATATCGATGAGCTGACTAGGTACGAAATCTCATCTCTCGCTCCGTTACATGTTATGTCCCTCATAGTTTCATAATGGCTGTAATGAACCCTCATGGCCATGTGCTCTTCTCATTACCCTGTCTAGCAATTCCTGTTTCTCAACATGAACGTTTCCCTTGACATCGTGAGACAATGCGCATGTAATTAGAAGACAACTGAGTTTTGGGGTTCTCACGGACTTCAGGATGCGATTGAGGTCTTCTGGGCTGTGGTGTGGTCTTGGCAGAAACTAACAAGAGTTTTAGGCGAACATACCTCATTCCTGAGTATGGGTGGCTGTTAGGTTTTTCCAAAACGTAAGGAACCACCTACAAATAAGTCATCACAAATCACAAGAAGATCCAAATTTTCATCGCCACCGAAACCTCAAATCTCTGTCTCAAGATAACTTTGTCGGGAGTTGTTGCATTTTTTTAATATGGCCTCATGTACTATTAGAGTAAATTATACTGCTGGTGAGAACAGTAATGAGAAATTTAAAGTGTTTTGTATGTAATCTACTAACGTTGAAGCCTCCTCTGGCAAAATAACTCCAGGAGAACTTGGCTGATCTTGAATATGTTTTTATTAATCTTTAGTCTTAAGGGACAAGTTGCTCTGAGACCATACCTGTTGCCTGTTACTTTGTACATTTACGTAGACTTAATTTTAATTCCACGATATGTTTCGTAGTCACGAACTCAATCAAAATGAAGGACAGATTCATTAAAATGTGCTCACAACTCTGATATACATCAGCTTCAATGCCTGTGATATACGAATATTTTTCTAAAATAAAATCATTTTTATTATTTTTAAAGAATATTGTTTTTCAAATTATGAAAGTACAAAATCAAGACCATCTTCAGCTATAGACGTTGAGTACTGGCTCTAACACCCGGTATGTGGTATAGACTATTGATTTGTTCTCTAAGCGGTCATTCCATTGTTATCCGTATTTTGTGTGCACATAATAAAAGGCTGTCCTTTGGGATTCTAAACTCAGTTTCCTGTTTACTGTCTAGACTGTTAGTAACTTCAAAAGACACTAGTTTAAGTATTACATGCAGTAAGCCGTTGCTGTGTAATTGCTCGTATTAGAATATACTCGAATTGTTAATTACTCAACCAACTCAACAAGCGTAGCCCTTCTTGATAAGCTATTAGTCGCTCAGCCACCCAAAGAATCCCCTTCCCCCACTTTATGAAACATAAGTTTCGTGTACGTTGACGAACCCATCTGTGATCTGCCCTAAGCTACTTAAATTCAGCCCACACTTACTTTTCTAAGACCTATTTTAAAATTATCTTTCCGTCTACGTCTAGGTAATACCAGTGGAGTCTCCGCTTCTGATTATCCGTCTATAACGTACGCCCGCGTAAAATGTAAGTGCTTTGTGACTTTATTTCTGTAGAAAATTAGAGTTACAACAGAGATCAACATGTGTTATGATCTCGAATATTCACTACCTCTTTCACGTCGTTTGATCCTGTAAAATAAAGTTGCCCCAATCTACACCACTTAGAAACTTGTGGGGAGAGGTGGTATAGGTCCTACTTATTCTTGACCTCGACACTAGATAGGGGTGAGTGGTCAGCATCACGCCCTGGCTTCTTGATCCTATAGACTTATAAAATAATTTGCGCCCGCCTTACTCATCGCCTTAATAATGGAGGTAGCAAGCACATCTGAAACGTCTGTAAACGTCTACGAGACTACAGGAACCAACAACCTAGAAGACATCTATATTCATATTTGCCAACAAGGGAACGTGTAGACTCACACACTTAGGGATTCATATTTAGGGTCCCATATTTTAATTACACATTACATCCATGACACACAAATTTCAGTCACGTAGTTCAATTAGTTTTGGTACTTAATCAGTAATGGAACAGACTAGCCGGCCTTCATACTGCATCCCTCTCCCTGCCCTTTCTAGTGTAATCTGCGTCATTACACTAATTGCCATTTATTTTTAGTGCGGAGTCTGCACGAACAGAGACCAATATCAACAACAGTGAAAAATGTGGCTGTTATATTATTTTTATAAATGAATGGGCTGGGCATATGCAACGCATTTGTGTTGTTCGGAGCTTGTAATTTCGATACGGATTTGTATGACTTACTTTACATAATAGTATAAAGTCGGATGATCATAGCCCTGAAGATGGAGGCAGCGAGGACGCCTGAAACGTTTGGTAAATTTCTACCAGATACACGGCGCTAGAACCCAGAACATAGCCATCTTAGTGAAGTAACTTCTTCGTTACTATGTTTCTTCCTTAGTTTATTCAGATTATTCGAGAAACAAATTTGTGCAGGGACTTGAAAACACTCTTCCGTCAAGAAGAAGTCGCAGTTCTCATTATTCCATGCCTGCAGTAGTAGCACTTGCAGCCTCTTCCATGCGCTACCGCGCATGGACCTGTATGTAGTGGAGTACTGCTTTATGCTCTGAAATTAACGGCTGTAAAATTATTGCTCTTAAGGGCTGCCGGCTGCAGCTGCTGGTAACGTTAAAGGCTCTCCTCGGAAATGGGACAGATACTGAGAAAGGCAGCTAATGTTCTGAGTGAGATGGAAAATAACACGCCGAAATACTTGTAGCCGTCCAATTCAGTTACAGACAACTTTCGTGTTGGAGATAGTAAGAAATAAGTTGTTCTGCTGTAAAAATAGTTTTTGGAACATCACCTAACATATGCAGATACATTTAACACATATCTCTTGTCTTTTTCTTTAAAAATGTTATTAGCTAAGTAATGTGTATTTATTTTAAAAAATAACGTCGTGGTTCTCACGTTACAACACCAAATTTATATTTCGAAAGTACTAAATAACCGTGCTGTAAATTGGTATTCCCGAGATAATAAGCTAGATTCATGATTGATCCACTGTCTGTGACTGACGTTTTTCGTAATTTTCTCAACTTTTTTTTGTCAAATTGTGTGATTGGTCGTCATTTTATTCCATATCATAAATTAGCATATATAAACCAATAACATCAGACCGAACGCCATGATCGAGTGGTTAACATTCCTGCCCCGTATTCGGGAGGTCTCGAATTCAAATCTCTGCCCGGAGACCGACTATCCTGACTGTGAATAAATAAGACGATAAGATTTCGATGCTTTAGTACTTATTTACTATAAATTCTAGGATGTTATTTAAAGGAAAAAAGCCACTTCTATATCACTGTACATTATCCTAGGCCAGGCGCGTCAGACCACAATCTCACATCGTATTTCTTTAAGAACAGTTTTAATATTGTCGTATCAGCTACACCTATCCAAAAGTGACTCCTTTCCTAACTGAACTGAACTAAACTAAACTCAACTCAACTAAACTTTTTTTTCCATTTTTTAACCACTCTAATGTTCCATACGTTTCAGCCTTCTTATTTATTTGGTCACCCTAATGATCATATAATTCTGAAAATACCGTGAGGATATGCTTTCCACCATTTAATTCAGAATTTGGTTACCTTTTTGTCCCCGTCTGAAACATTAAATATTAAAAAATGAGGAAATGTAGGCATAATTTTATTTGTTGTTTGATATTGGTATGAAATTTATAGTGTCTTAACCTAAAGTCAAAAGAAAACAGTTTTAGGGAAAGCAGTTGACATAAAGAGGTGTGAAATAAGCTGCCACATGGAGAAAATTATGTAAAAAGAGCTTCATAATTTGTAAGGTTACTCTTACTATGGCCAATGAATCATGAAGGATAAAATGGGTTGGACATTGGCATCGATAGGAAAGAGAACACTTCTGCAGATAGAAGCCTATGCAAGAAGCTGGATCATGAAGAAATAGTTTGTTGGTGTGTGGACTACACTCGCCTGAGTCATATCTGGGTCCAGTGGCGAGTTCTAGTGACCTTTGGTTTCCATGAAAGAAGACAATTTCCTAAGCGGCATAGTTTCTTAAAATTCCTCTGCTAAGTGGAGTTGGCTGAAGTTTGAATCTTGTACTGAGAGATAACTTACTTTAAAATTATTTATTGCGAATGTGTTAGTGATAAATAATAAAGCCAAACTTTGCCACTACCAGTAGTTATTCTTGCAAGACGTCGTGATGAATCTTGTTTATATTAAAAATGTGGCCTTTATGGGATTAACTTCACTTATCTTGAACTAGAACTTATTTTATCAGAAGGGAAACGGTTGTTATTACTTTATGAAACTTAGGAATATTTACTGCGATGTGAGCTATGCACAAATGTAAAAGTACCTTAACCATTTGAAGCACGAAGCTCATCTAAATAGTATTTGGAAATTCAGTGTTTACCTCAGAGAGAAAGAGAACGTGTCACAATTTAATTCACTAAGAAGTTAATGCTGTGCTGACAAATAATAGCTCTTTATTCTGAGAGTTTTGTGAAACTCGTAATTACGTAGATTTACTGTTTGTCAAGTATGCGGAATATATAGTTACTAATGTATTATAAGTGTTAAGTATCTTCGTATCAATAGCCCAGAGCAATATGAACTTGTCTGTCATACAACTAAAGCTTTTTTCAACTACATTTGAACTATATTAAACTTTCTGTACTTTTATAAAGATAGTTCAGAAAGTGGATCGGGTCGGTTTAGGAATTATATCCATCCATCGATCTACGAACGTTATTCGTTCAGTTAAAACTGTTGTCAAGGTTAAAATTCGAAAATCGAAAAATGAAATTCCCACTAATATAAATGTAAACTATTTTTAGTGGTTCCCAGACTATCAGAAAAATTGCCGAATATTTTTACCGCTTATGGTAGAATAATATACATTCCTGGTTAATAATAATAAGGATTGAGTAGTGCAGGGTTAAGGAAAGGAGAAAAATACATGATTTCATGTGTTCACAATTGAAGGGATTGTATACTATAGTAAAAGAAAGATACAAATTTATTTCAGTTGTATTCGTACTTGTGTGCAGATGTTTATACGATGTAGCAGTTTTACACATAGAGAAACTGTAATTAGTCTCCTGAGAGGCCAACAATAAATTTGTCCGAAGTGTGTGGCTTAACTTATCAGGGTTTACCTTTTTGAATCTCAAATTCATAAACTCCTGTCAGTTTACTATGGCGATATATTTGCAGTAATACAAGAAACATAATGTGCAGTAGATAGGATTCAAAGTAATTTCAACCGTATGTTTGAATTAGGGAATTTCAAAAAATGCCCATTGGTTTTGTGGTGTTGTGTTAGTGTAGGTGTAATAGCGGAAAACGTGGAATATACCAGGATTTGTTTATATTCGACCGTGGGAATTTAAAAATCCCAATTGTGAAATTAACTGAATTTCCGATACATTTTTTTAGATCGACTCACAGAATAAATAACTGGGTCGTTTTACTGACCCTGCGTATTAATTCGAATCGGTAGCGAAGCAAGTGATGTGGATAAGCATTATTAAGCTACATTAGCCTTTGTTGTGTGGTTCTTTTTATAGAAATTAAATTTCCTTGCAATTAATATCTTTGTGTGTAAAGATTGTGTGGCATCTTATAAATTGAAGATTTCTGTCTTCTGGGTTGTTGCGCTGTGTAGTCTGGTCGATGTTTACCAACGTTTCAGAGATTATACTGCCTCCATCATTAGGGTGATGAATTCAAAATTTTCAAAGGCGTACCATCGACAAAAATTTCAAAATTTTTCAAAATTTTCGAAAAATCGGGAAGTGTAGGGATGTATCCGAAGGGCGCGCAGGGCTAGATAATTTTGAAAAATTTCAACTTCTAAATGAATTCATCGCCCTGATGACGGAGGCAGTATGACCCCTGAAACGTTGGTAAACATCTACCAGACTACACAGCGCAACAACCCAGAAGACAGAAATC